TTTTCTTTTATAACCACGACCAAATTTTTAGAGTTGAAAAGTAAACCAAGATCAAATTTAGACATGTTGTTTGAAATTAGCAAAGATGAAACACTTCACTGCCAGACAAAAGCCCTGATTTTAAGAGTAGATTTTTGCCTTCCCTGAAATGCCTAGCTCAGGCAGTGTATTTTTATGCCTGCAGATATTGGCATGTTTCACATTTGAGATTATGACACACCAACTTATTTTGAAATTTTTTAAATCTTCCACTGCGCATGTTTCAAGTGCTTCATGACTATCACTGATAATTGAGCAATTAACTTGGAATTACCAAATGTGCTGTGATGGCACAGTATGTAGTAAGCGACATGACAGAATAAAGAACAGAGGAACTTAGCACAGTGAATAAAAGTAATAAAGGGTAAAATAGGCCATCAACCTAATAATAATACTGAGTAAGTTTTAATGGTCCCAGGTCTCAGTGGTTTAATGGTGCCAGTAAAACGGTTTAATGAAACAAGTCCAGAGTATTACAAACTTTTTGGAGCAGTTTGTTCTGGTTCTACTAAAAGGAAGCTTCTTTCTAACTGGCCTTGTGTAATATTCAGAGACTGGTCCAAAAAGTAAGTGTGGGAGTTTCATTAGACAACAAGCACAAAACATTTAGGTTAAAAATCCTGACAGGCAAATTCTTAAGAAATACAAGCTTGCAAAAAATAGATGTAAGATCTTCTTTTTGTAAGAGAGACAAAGCAAAAACTCTAGGGCTAAAGATGACCTCAAGAAGTCATCCAGCTATTGTGAACATATTTGCAAATCAAAAATTAAGATACATGGCTTGACATCAAGAGGGAAGGATAAATCCAGCTATATTAGGAAAAATAGAATGCCTCTTCACTGTTCATCCCATCAAGGTCTCTAATACTGGGCTTTTCTGGCTAAAACCATAGCGTGACTGTGAAAAGTAGCTTTTTAGTGCTTAAATATAGCCAGTGAAGCAAATTCCATAAACCTAAATCCTACCTTATTTCGGCGGCAGGCCATCTTAAAGGTTTGCAAGAAAAACCAACAATTTAGAAAGAGATTCAAACTACAGCAAATAAAGGACACTATTAAAAACATTTTTTTCCTCAAAATTTCATCAATATTGCTCCAAAACACCGCAAGGAGATTAAAATAGGCCAGGCTGTCCTTTCAGGTATAAATAAATTAGAAACAGAAAGTGAAGAGAGCAGAAAGAACAAGTATCTAAGGGCACTAGTATATAAAATTTAAAAGCTTCAAATGTAATGGATATACACATTCAGATTAGTGAACTGCTTTCAATTAAAGTAGATTTCTGGCCACAGTTCACAAATGTACAGTAGCTGTGTGTATTAATGTAGATACTTCAAATGTCAGTATATCTCTAATTAACATGAGCACACAACTGTAAAACTGAGAAGGCACAATTTTAAATTCCTCACATTCCCAGCATTAATGCTTTCATGGGGCAGCTCCCGTTGTCATGGAAAATGGCATTCAAGCCCTATTTGTGGATTTTCACAGCTCATCTTTTTTATTTACCTGCTCTATGTCAAGATTAGCCTAGAATAATATTTTTTAAAGATAATGCACTTAGACCTACTTGTCCTGAAAATCACAGGCATTCTCACTGAGGGAGCTTTGGTCTGGGTTATGCTCAGTTTGAAACAGATTTCTTTCCTTTTAAAATACCACAAAGAGATGAATTTGTGATTTTTTGTTTGTTTCCTGAAAATCTACGCAATTCAAAAAATTTCAGCTGAAGCAGGACGTATAGCAGTTTTGGAATAGGGGGATAGGAAAATGTCAGGGAGGAGCAAATGATCCAGGAACATGAGGAAATGAATTGGTAGAAGGTACTCTACAATCTACTCCCTGACTTACTCTACCTCAACTTTCCAAAAATATTTGTACAGCCACCAAATGGAGACTGAGATGGTGATCAAAAACAACAAAAGAAAGAGAGCTAAAATTCTCTCTGTGACAGGATAGCTTGGTTTTATGGAAAGAGCACTGAATTTATACCATGAATCCCTATATTTGAGTCCTGCTACTCTGCAAAGATAAGGATAATTCCTATTCACCTAACAGTTTTTATAAAACTCAGCCAATTTAATGTCTGTAAAAGCAAGTGTTATACCAAATTAAGATACTCTTATTATTGCCTCAAGCATGGGGCTAAGCAATAATCACTTCTTGTGCCAGAGAATAAAATACTTCTGTATCTTTTCAGGGAAAAGGTTGTCATTCAAGACCATGAACAGAGGCAGAATTTTATAAAAGTAAATTCATTATCAAATTATTTAAAAGGCCTGGGTAACCTGAAAAAGCAGGGTATTTAAAGACCTACCTCTGTTTTGTTTCTTTTTTTTATTTTTAACCAATAATTTATTGCCCTGGTAAAATTGAATGGTCAGAATTATATAATTATTTTTAAATTAGAGATAAAAAATTAAATGTGAGATATTAACATGCAAAACAAGGTCTTCTTATACAATGCCTACTTTTGAAAAAGACAAGAGTAGTTTTATTTTTTAAAGAGGAAAAAAAATGGAATAAGATGCTTTCAGCTTCTGAGAAGTAACCATTTTCCTTCACAGTGTTTTCCTCTCCTGACACAGGTAGTTGGTGTGAGGAGGTAAGATTCCAGTCAGTTCTCACACACCCTTGGTGTGGCCCATTCATTATGGATGTGCAAAACAATATCCCACCTTTCTTATCTCACAGACTGATTTCTGCACACCTTACTAAGAAACCTTCCCATGGCCATGAGGTATAACTTTCTGCCTTAGATCATGTAGCAAATAAGCAGTTCCAGGATGGAAATTAAAGTTCCTAAAAGAAGCCATTGTCACTGATCCTATTTGCTTGTTCTTAGGCCAGACTAGATAAATATTTCCATTGCTTTAACTGCCTCATCATTCAGTGTAAGTGGTGGACAGTTTCTGCAGTAATTGAAAGGAATGGGAACTCAAGCATTCTGGATGCCATGTTAATTTTATCTGACTTATCTTAGTCATAGAATCCTGCTATGGTCCTTTAATAAGAAGGTTCCACAGTTAGAAGATGGCCCTAACAAAGCTTGAGACCACTAAATTTAGGAACGACAAAGTCCATGCCCTAAACTAACATGGAAATTCTTAAGGCTGAAAAACAATTATTTTGGGCCTAAATGATTAGCATGACTTCTGCCTACATGATCAGACAAAACTGACTAAAAGATTATTTTTTTTATGTTGAACTCCAGAAATAACCGTATGAAAACTACAGCCACATGAAAACTATAGCCACAGATTCCCTTCTTCGAATTTTAGTCTCCCTCTTTGTTAGATTGCTAGAAAAAATCTCAGCTAATTGGATCCCCTCCATTCAAAGCTAGCCTATGTATGTCTGGTGGAAGGGGAACACAAAGGAGGAGTAAAGAAATCAGAAAAGAGGGCCTTTGGGTAATGAGAAATGTAAACTATATTTTAATGCTTTAATAAAAGCCATCTTGGTTGAATTGCCAGTAATTATCTTGTATTTGTCATTTTAAAAATGTAGTCATCCTAAAAGCTTACTAAAGTAAATGACTGAATGATATGAAAGAAGAGAGAAAGGAGGTAAAAGAAAGGATATAGCAACTAAGATAAGATTTGAACAACTCAAAATTGTTTCCTTTTACTCAGATTTCTAATAGGATAAGCTCAACTCCTTGGAATTATCCTTTTTCATGAGAGCCCTTCAAAGATACTTTACATTTCTTTCTCCATCTTCTTCAGCTCCTAATCCTCACTATGATACCTTGCACAAATTAAAAGCTTACATTTAATCCAAAGGAGCTATGCAGTTTAATATTTTGTGTTTTACATAAGAATTAAGTCTTCAAATAATAAAATGTGAATTGATAGTTTCATAAAAATAATGTACTCATTCATAAAGCATTAAATATATACAAAATGTATTAAACTATATTAAACATTCACATCTATTTTTTAAGTTGATTCAAAATGCTTGTCCCAATCAATGCTACTACTAAAAGAAAGATAAAGCTGGTTTTAAATAAATATTCACTGTGCTCTGCTTAAATACTGAATAACTTAAACTCGAATTTATAATGTTGGGTTTTTTTAAATACTTTTCCTGGAAGTATATCCTCTAAAACTCCCTTGTAGGAGTACACTAACAGAGGACAATTTTCCTCTGTCTTTGTTGCTATGAAATGTATATGAGCTCCTTAGATTCCAACAATATACACATATAAATATATTTTAAACTCAAGTTACTTAAATATGGTCTTATACGTACACATTTTTAATACCTGCCTCATACTCTAAACTACTTCTATATTAATAAATATATATCAATTTAAAGTACTATAATTGATCATTCAAGTTCATTCCATTTTTTTCTTGAAATTTGCCTTTTCTGAGAAAAAAGTATCTTTGTTCTCCCAAATATCATTTAAAATTTAATAGTGTTTTGGGGATGGTGAAGAAAGCACCCATTTGGATACACATTATACATTCACTAAATAAGCCTTTGGCTCCGTAGTACATAATCTCCTCATGTGCTGACAGCTCTTTGAATTCTGTATCATCTCACGTCTTTTCTATGTGCACAGGCACATAGTACTTTTCAAGTCCAGACAACCAGAGACTGTAAGAAGTTACCAGGGTAAATTATTCATGTGTATATAGACTAGCCCCTTTAAGGTAATTCATTCCTATAATTGAGCCCCATCTTCAAAAAGTAAGATATTTATTCTTCCAGCTTATTGTAACGGGCCCCGCCATTGTGTTATTTCACTGGAAATCACAATAAACTGGGGCTTTTTTCACCAGCTGGTACTATTTCTATAGTCCTCTTAAGAAAGCACTTACAAAAACCTAATAACACTTAAAGTAACAGAAAAAATGATAAAAATTCACACACAAAAGGAATTAAGAACGTGTTTATAAACTGTAACTATTTCATTATGCAATGAGAAAAGTAATAAATAAACCAATACTTACAAATACGGACAAAAAATCAGCCCCAGCACCCAGAAATCACTGGTAAATTGCCTTTGAATTCATGAAAGTGACCTGAAAGTTAGACAGAAAATGAAATTTAAAAATATAAATTGCATTTATATGTTTTATTAAAGGAGTATATACATTATGTCTACAAATTATACTAGTTTTAACTCAGGCAGTTGTCCCCATCTATTCTAACAGCTTTTTCCAAGATAATAATAACCAAAAGAGACAATTATTCCACTCTTCTACCTCTAGGAATACATCTCTGTCCATTATGGTTTTAAAAAAAGAAAAAGTCAGTAGTAAAGTAGGTGTTTAAAGTATCAATAAGTAAAAACAAAAGGAAGAAAACAATTTTTAAGGGAATAGATGCTTACAAGTTACATTTAAAAAACATATTTAATTTATGTCTACAAGTTAAAATGAATGCACTTCACAGAAAATATCTTGGATATATCCAACAGGAATATCTTACAGGTAGAATAAAAATGAAAAGATGCACTTTTTGTTCTGTTGAAGGTATGGAACACATTTAGACACTCAGGCTATATGCAATGCATTCTGTATAAGGCACAATTCAATCCAAAATTCTTTTGCTTGCACACACTTTAGTTCTGGCTGAACAGGTAACAGATGCAACTCAAACACACAGAGCTAGCCTTGTAAAAAGTTTTAACTAGCACAATGAGTCACTTTATGCCTCTAAATATCTATGGTTTCCTCTCTCCAGAACCCCCATGCATTAGAAGGTAGTTTGGTAGTTTATTTTTATTGTTTGGTCTAAATACAGCACATTTTTAGTTCCATGAAAACAAAGAAACTTTGTTGCAAAGGCCATATTCTTTCCAAAATGTGAGAATGGCTATGAGTAGTGTTCAACTTAAAATAATAATGGAGCTTGAGTTCCTAATTTAGGTCAGAAACTTTCCTAGACTTAGAGATTAGTTTTATTCAATCCACATTTTTAAAATATAGCTAGTAAACATCTAGGTTAGTTAACTAACCTGGCTAGTTAGCTAACTAGATTAAAATAAAATTCATTCTGGAAAAAATGAATCTTGATCAACATCATTTGTAGGAAACACTATTTCCAACGTTATATTTACATAGCGCAAATGAATTAGGCATCTGAAATTGAGATACGAAATAAATATCTAACTCAGCCCTTCCCAGCTCCTATAATATGCTTTTGCCTAAGTGGCCCAGATAATTTTCCAGTCAGGAATTTTTTTAAAAACATTTTATTTATTTATCTGACAGAGAGACACAGTGAGAGAGGGAACACAAGCAGGGGAAGTGGGAGAGGGAGAAGTAGGCTTCCCACTGAGCAGGGAGCCTGATGCGGAGCTCGATCCCAGGATCCTGGGATCATGACCTGAGCTGAAGGCAGATGCTTAATGACTGAGCCACCCAGGTACCCCTCCAGTCAGGATTTATAGACAATAAAGTCCTGGGCATTTGGACAGTTTTATGTATTGATGGTTAATACACCTATTAGGTTTCTTCACTAGACCTCCTTCTCTTTTTTTTTTTTTTTTTTTGATTTTATTTATTTATTTGACAGAGAGAGACACAGCGAGAGAGGAAACACAAGCAGGGGGAGTGGGAGAGGGAGAAGCAGGCTTTCCGCGGAGCAGGGAGCCCGATGCGGGGCTTGATCCCAGGACTCTGGGATCATGACCTGAGCCGAAGCAAAGGCTTAATGACTGAGCCACCCAGGCGCCCCAAGACCTCCTTCTCTTTGTAAAGAATGGTGCCTCGGGCCTACTTCACTCCAGTTTCACCAGTTTCCAACAATTCTATGATGCCTACTTCCATGGATGCAAGAAGTACAGAAGAGTCTAGCCAGGGAAGGTGGCTCTGAATTTATTTTTGGTATAACACCCTTTCTTCCTCACAGCTTTCTGATGTTTTCAGATCCAAGAGAACAATTTTATCTGGGACACTACATAACACTATGTGGACACACTCTGTGTACTATTGAAATCCAGCAAAGAATACTTGTTCTGATATAAGCTATTCCTACATTTTATCCTGTCCTGAGTTGTAAATTATAATTTGAAGTTATCCACAAATTAAATCTATAGCAAAATGCTATATATCCAAAAGCATAAACTCTGGGAGAATCCAATACTTACATATTATAAAAATAATCACACCTTGTCTTTCTGGCAACTATTCCTTTAAAGGCATGAATTGGAATTATGCAAAATACACAATATATCCCATTCCTTCATTTGCATTTAAATGATGGGGGATATAATAAAATGCATCCAAAAATATTGTGGCTGACATATATCTCATTTTTTCAATATTGGACTCTTTAGGAGTTAAGATCTCTAACTCTGGAAATATTTGAAATTTGGAACAAATCAGATTCTAGACATTCAGGACAAATAATATTCTAATATACATCAATATGAAGTCAATAATTCTCATTTGTCATATCAATGCAGTCTTACTACATATGTTAAAAGCAACTCTGAATCTCATTATCAACTGTTTTACACTATTGATGAATTTCGGAACAAACAATTTAAAAAGCATAAGCTTCACACAATAGCCAAACTCTGGAAAGAGCCTAGATGTCCATCAACAGATGAATGGATAAAGAAGATGTGGTGT